GAGGACTCAGGATATAAGAGAACCTCTGCTGTGACATCCTGTAACTCAGCTGTGTCTCAAATTTTCTAATCAAAGAGATTATGGGGCTACAGAGGAAAGTGATCAATGATGTATAGTGTGCCTAAAGAGTTACTTAGAGAGAAAAAAATCTCTCAAGCTTTCACAGAGAGCAAATTGGTCAAGCAATGGCTGTGACTCATCCAGATGGCTGAAAGTGACAGAAGATCTACAAGATGCTGTACATGGTTCAGCATCTTAGTAAATCCTGAGATTTGGCTTACCTTATAAGACAGTAAAAGTTACATTTGTAGTTATACAGGTCCTGCTTTAAGTTGGTCTTAACCATCCTGCAGAAAAGCATAAGCACAAGCTATAAAAAGTAATGCCATATTAATATGCTAAGCTGTAAAAGGCTCAAGTCAACACCTTGCGACAATTACCAGTTGTGCTTACAACTACTATTATGGACTATTGGGCTACAGAGTTATATTGCTGAATTTGACTTTCTAGTCTTTGGACTGGTATCAAGTATGAAAAGGTCCTTTATTTTTTAATTTTTTTAATTTAATTTTTTTTTTTTTTTCAGAACTGGGGATTGAACTCAGGCCCTTGCACTTGCCAGGCAAGCGCTTATTCAATGAAAAGGTCCTTTAAAGACTTCTCCAAATACAGCTTCTCTAACTGCAATTCAACACCCATCTCTGACAAAACAACATTTTCTGTCCAAAAAAGGGGGATATGGTGGGAGCCTCCTAAGCTAGGAAATTGCTAAAATGTGTGTAGGTGGGACTAGAACTCAGTGCCTAAAACAAACAAGCTAACTCAGTCCTGAGATAAACATCCTGTCTGGTTAAGGTCAGCTATCAATTGCTAGGCAACCTTGTGTTGTATTACTAACTTTGTGAAGTTATAAATAAAAGTTGGTTTTGTAGTGGGGTTGCATTAGTTTTGCCTACCAGGCAGACCAGCAACCATCTAGCCCAGCTTTTGTCTTCTTGTCTATCTTTTCTCATTCCTGCTGCTGTTTCTCCCCTGGTTAGAACCGATCTGACTGAGACCATCAGATACCTACAATATACAAATATTATGTCAGCGGGGGTGTGGTGGTGCATGCCTATAATCCCAGCACTTGAGAGGCTGAGGCCAGGGAACTGCCTCAAGTTCAAGACTAGCCTTGGGGAAAACAAACAAACAAACAAACAAACAAACCATCCTGGGACTATACAGTGAACACTGTCTTAAAAAAACAAAAACAAAACATTATGTCATTTTACACAAGGGACCTGACCACCTACAGATTTTGGTATCAACAGTGTATGTGTGTTGAACCAAAGAATCTTCCATAGATATGAAGGGATTACTACTTTTTTTACCCATTTATTTAGTAGAGGGTCTACAGGGTCTCACTACACAGCTTGGACTCATAGTGATTCTCCTGTTTTCAGCCTCTCAAGTGCTGGGATTACAGGGGTGTGCCACTACACCCAGTCTTACACTATTCTTTGTGATTATAGGACTCCCCTAAAGACTAGAATAAGTAACAAGTTAATCTTAAAGCCTCGTACATACTTTAGACACTTGTTTCCCTGCTTCACTTGAAAAAGTAACATTCATAATACTATGAATTTTCAATTTCTGCGTCAAAAACTTTTATCACTGTTGCATATTTCCATAGTATCTTCAATCCCTACAATCCATGTTTAATTGTATGTGGCTTCACAGTGTAGAGTTAAGATTGCAAAACCTTAGAATCACTTAGTACAGCATAGGCAATAATCACTTGTTTAATAAAGAAATTTTTTTATTAAGTCTAAACTTAAAAGTCAAAGTTCAGACTTTTAAGTGCAAAAAAATAGGTTCAGTGCATCCAGAACTGAGATTCAGGACAATTGGTTTACACTAAGCATAATACGCTGATTTTAAAGCCTGATTTCAATTTTATCTAGGCTTGGGTGTCACTTCTACACTATTGTTCAAGAATAAATTATACAGCCAGGGGTGGTGGTGCATACCTGTAATCTCAGCACACAGGAGATTAAGACAGGAAGATCCCCAAGAGTTTGAGGCTAGCCTAGACCAACCTTGTCTCAAAAACAAAAAATCATAGGGTTAGTGCAGACTCGAGGGGAGACTACATTGTGCTTGTGTACCATTCATTATTGGGCCAATATTGGTGGGTACCATGGAATCTGATGACTTTAACAGGTGATTTACATCCCACTAGGACTAAATCCACAGTGTATATGCCTTAAAACATAAAGGGGAGGAGTCCTAGAAAGTGATATTTGGGCCCTAAAGCTAAAGTTTCATTAGCTTTACAGCTAATATGCTTCTAAACCCTTCTAGATTGATCAGCTATGGTAAATCAACCGTGGTAAGTCAGCAGACATGGCTTTGAGGAGTCCAACTACTCTTGGATACTAGGGAAATTTCCAGAAAATGAAAAAATATAACATTGTACAACATCATGGAATATACCTGCTATTGTCAAATTCCTACAATTTTGTTTGGTGATTTTTTTTTTTTTTTTTTTTTTGTATTTGCTACAGGGTCTCACTATGCAGCTCGGACTCACAGTGATCCTCCTGTTTTCAGCCTCCTCAGCGCTGGAATTATAGAAGCGTGCCACCATGCCCAGTCTTGCTGGCCAGCTCAGTGGGCTGGGGGTGGGGATGACTATTTTGTATTCTCTTTAGACAAAAAAAATCTTGTGAACTCTCCTCCCTCTACATACGAGAAGTATCTAATGTTTCAGCTTAATAAAATGTTATCAATTGAGGCGGGAGCTTATAGCTTAGTGGACTAAAGCACCTGCTCAGGCAGCCTGCTGATGGCAATTGAGACTGGGCGTGGTGGTGCGCACCTGTAATCCCAGTGCTTGGGAGGCTGAAAACAGGAGAATTACTATGAGTCTGATCTTTGTAGTGAGAACCTGTCCTAAATACAGGGAAAAAAAAAAAAAAGTTATCAACTGAATGACCAGGTCTCCTGACAGAAGAGCAAATTTTTAAATATACTACATATACAGTATGTAAAATTTATGTGTGTACACACACAGAGTACAACTGAAAGGATACAAAAACAATTTTTAAAATTTACTATATACCTTTTCTCTGTCTACTCTCCTCCGACCACTAGCACTGGGGATTAAACCCAGGGCCTTCCCTCTGAGATACATTCCCAGCATTTAAAAAACTTTTTAAGAGAGGGCCTGAGTCCCTAAACTGCCCAGGCTAGAACCAATTTTGCACTCCTCCTGCCTCAGGTTCCTAGAGAGCTGGGATTTCAGGAATGTACCACCAGGTCCAGTTTGACTATTTATTTACTTATTTATTTTGGTGGAACTGGTGATTGAACTCAGGCCCTTGAGCTTGCCAGTTAAATTTTGCTTTTTATACAGCGTTTTGCTTTGTGGTTCAGTCTGGCCTTAAACTCTCTATGTAGTCCTGGGTGGCCTCAAACTTGCAGTGATTCTCCCTCCTCAGCCTCCTGGCCTGTGTTACTATGCCTGGCTTTGAGACAAAGTCTCACCATGTAGTTCAGACTGACCTTGAACTTGTGGGGATCTTTGATGGTGTCTATTTTCATCAGTCGGGGTTCTCCAGAAAGAGATCAATAGGATGTGTACACAGAGATTTTTAAGGAATTGGCTTACATGGCTGTAGGTGCTGGCAAGTCTGAAACCTTGCATGGCAGGCCAGCAGGCTGGAGAGTCAAGGGACATCTGAGCTACAGTATGGAAGCACTAGTCCTTCCAAACAGTGCTGTCTTTTTCTTTTTTGCGGAACCGGGGATTGAACTCAGGCCCTTGTGCTTGCCAGGGAAGCGCTTATCCCACTGAGCCATCTCCCTGGTCAGTGCTGTCTTTTTCTGACGGGACTCCTACACAGTGGAGGATGATTTGCTTTACTCAGAGTCTACTGATTTGTTACTCACATGTAGCTAATACATTCCCAGCCAACTAGACTGATGTTTGACCAAAAACTGGTAAAGGGAATCATGGCCTAACCAAGTTGATACAGAAAATTAACCATTACAGTCACTAAATTGTGTTGCCTCTGATCTTTAAATGTTTTTCAAATTGGGTTCCCTCCTCTCCATCACCAGTGTCTTAATTTAGGCTTGTACTTTTTTTTCCCTCTGCCTGCTCAGCCTGCCTTGGTGGGGGGGAGGGCCCTGGCGCTGTGTGTGGTGTCAGGGATCAAACCAGGGTCCCCTGGGACTGCCTGAGCTTGCCTAAGCAGGTGCTTTAGACTGCTGAGCTATCTCACAGGCCCTGTATTCTTATTAAATTGATCCAAGCTGGGGTTTTAGTTCCACACTAAGAGCCCTTCTCTCAAATGTAAATTGTCAAGGTGGTGGATTTTTCTCTAGTGCTGATAAAAAAAATTCATTTATAAAATATTTCCGTGGGGTCAGGGATATAGTTCAGCTAGCTCAGTGACACTGTGCCTGCCTGGCAAGCACGAGGTCCTGAGTTTGAGTCTGAAACCCCCCCCCCAAAAAAAAATAGTATCACAGCAGACACATTGTGGTATCCTCAGGGATTTATAGTCCAGCCTTTTCCTTTTTTGTCTTTCCGCTCATCCCACCTTTCTCACATGGATAAACAGATCAATACTCATGCTTTTTATAACTTGAATCTTGTATAAAATATATGTATTACATACTGCAAAATTAATAACAAAAAATATCCAAAATAGCTCATCCTTAAAATCCTATACAGGATCCCAGCAACCCCAAGTGCAGGGCTAACTCCTTTCAGCCCTTTGCTTGGTTTACCACTGGTTGCAGCCTTCAGGTGGTCTCTGCTGGAAACGCACTTGAGCACGTTTCACTTGGTCTCTCAAACTCCAGTTTCAGCGGCGCCCATCTCTAGAAGCCTTTTCTCTAATCTCACTGTCACCTTTTCCCACGTAACCTCACAATACTGCTTTCTGTTGTGGTCATCCCACTGTGTCCAAGTTTGTTCACATGTCCGTCTAGCTGCTTGGTCGAGTATGAGAGTGGTCACGCCCAACACAGACCCACCGCAGACTCCCGAAAACGCTTCGCGGAGAAAAGAACCAGCGTGCAGGCGCGGAAGGGGCTGCCTCGCAGGCTCCCGCGTCGGTCCGGCGCCGGGCTCGGAGCTCGCCCCTGGGAGCGCCCACGTGGGCGGGCGGACGGGCGGGCGCCTAGACCCCTGCCGGGACGGGGTTGGCGAGGAAGGGCCTCCTCGGCGCCGGGCGCGGACCCGGCTGCGCCCCTCCCCGGG